GACAATACAATCTTGATGAAAAAGTTTCGCAGAAAAACGTTTCCCGAAAAATGATAACGCTTTAGTTTTTCCCCTGTGGCTTAGACCCCCACCAGGGCGCCGGCTAAACAGCCATTTCTGAGCATTAGTGGCCGTCTCGGCACGTTTTTATATGCATATTTTTGTCCGTTTCAGGCACGGTACCCGCGCACAGGTGGTGGACGCCTGTCTGCGGCGGTCAGTGCTGTGGCGTCACTTCATTGTGGCGCCGCTGCTGGAGAACATGCGGGCGCGGCGGGCAGCCGGGCCGGACGGTCCAGAGCTGCGGGCGTTCTGTGACTGGCTGCTCGAGCTGGGAGAGGGGCGCGCAGAGGGCCCCGAGGATGGGTTTGTTCAGCTGCCCCCGCACCTGGTGATGGACGCCGATATCGACGCTGTCATTGACTGGGTGTTTGATGACCTGGCAGGGCGACACGGTGACCGGGAGTGGATGGCGTCGCGGGCTGTGCTCGCGCCGCGAAACACTCGGGTCGACGAGCTGAACGCCGCAGTCACCGAGCGATTCCCCGGAGAGGCCGTCCGCCTGCTGAGCGCCGACAGTCTGGTGGAGGAGGCCGAGCAGCTGGATATTCCACATGAGTATCTCAACACTCTGTGCGCTCCCGGCTTCCCACCTCACTGCTTGATGATAAAGCCAGGCATGCCACTCATGCTCCTTCGTAATCTGTCCGCCACTGACGGACTGTGCAATGGCACGCGACTTATCGCTGGTCGTATCATCAGCCCGCGACTCATGGAGGCCACTATCGCCTGCGGCAAAAACGCCGGAAGGCAAGTGCTTATTCCACGGCTCCCACTCCAGCCCCCGGATGACGCGTTTCCCTTCCGCTGGGAGCGTCGCCAGTTCCCCGTGCGGCCAGGTTTCGCCATGACGGTGAACAAAGCCCAGGGGCAGACGCTCGGTCGGGTCGCAGTCTTTCTGGAGGAGCCAGTGTTCAGCCACGGGCAGCTGTACGTGGCTGCATCGCGGGTCGGCCGGCCGGCGGATCTGAGGATCGCGCTGCCCAGAGGTGGCCAGGGCGCAACACCCAATGTGGTGTACACGGAGGTGATGGGCCGAGGTGATGGCCGATAGATCCACGGGTCGCAGAGGCGACGGGTAGCCAGAGCGCTACGAGCAACGTGGAGAGTAGGGAGAAAACGGCCGGCCGACCGTGATGCAGGACGGATCAATCCTGGCGAGCCAATGCGCCGCCAAGTGGAAAATTTACACATTAACATAATGCCGCAACTGGCTTTGGTGACCTCCAATGCGCGAGCGCAACTTATATTTTGAGGATAAATCAATGTATTGAGTGGCATGTTATAAAACATGTTTGATATGCTCTGATGATATATTTGATGTTTGATGATATATTTTGATATTTGAGAGCACATCTAACAATGGGCGTTTGCCCCCAGCTATACAATCGGCTGCGAGTAGCACACACCGAGTACTTCTCGGGGGGCCTTATTGCCGCTGCCCACGGCCGCCGTGTCTTCCCTCACCAGAGGTGTGCGCTCTGCACTCGGTGAGGGGTCTCGGGCGTTAAATAGAGACGCAATCCGATGTGGCAGCCTCCACGTGGCGGGTTGCGGGGTAAAAGCTAATAGCCACACAGAGCGACACGTAAGTATTTTACTGTTGTATTCACTAGATTTGATTGCGTTGCAGAAACATGTCATGTACTGTCACCTGCGCACTGCAGCTGCTTCCACTTCTTATCACGACATGACTTAGTGTCAGCCCCGATGAAGGCAAAAGGACGCACGAGCGCTGCGCTGGATTCTCCGACAGCATCTTCTTAGTCGCGGTGGTGACTGATACAACCAGCGTCTTACGGGTAAGGCAAGAAGTAAAGTATGGTTTGGTATGTGTTGAGTAGAGCTTCTGGGTAGGGTGGGGTAGTGTAGCGTATGGTAAGGTTGAGTGCATAAGGGGCCAGCATGCAAAAGACTCAAACAACCCGTAATCAGCACCAGCATACCATAGGTACACTTAAAAGTATCAAATTTCACCTAACTCATACAAATAAAAATATTACCTCATACATCAAACTAATGGTCCCATGAACAATAGCCATCGAAACGTACAGTTCTCGCGTGTATCCATCCATCCATCCATCCTGGGTAGGGTAGGGTATTGTAGTGTATGTTAAGTTTGAGTGCATAAGGGCCCAACATCCGAAAGACTCAAACAACCCCGGTTAATCAGCACCAGCATACCATACAGTTCAATTAAAACCAAATGTCAAACTTCACCTAGCTCATACAAATAAAAATATAACCTCATACACCCAAACAAATGCCCCCATTAACAATATCTATCGAATCTATACAGTTATCGCGCAAACATGGCCATCTAGTCTATATTATGATTTATAAGTCGTCCGTGCGTTCTCCATCCATCCATCCGTGTGTCATGTCTTATGTGTCTTATTGCGCCTGAAAGGCGCCGCGTATCGGCGTGAAATTTGGCATGCCGAATCTGTGGGCGTGGGCGGCCTTTGTATTAAAATTTGGGCGTGATCGGGCCAGGGGTGCGCCGTCAGCGCGTGAATCTCTCCCGCATGACGGGCCGCGGCTGGCGCCGAGCGGAGAGCACGTGCTCTAGGCTCATTTTCTTCGCTGCCAAAACTGAACGAAAAGCAGCAGAGCCGGCAGGTCATTGAACTTTGACAACGAACACCGGCGCAGGGCACCGCTTGCCAAGGGGATTCGCCAGTAAATAAAGCAAATTTATTCTTGCAACAACTCAGCCACTACTGGGCCGATTGTGCTGAAAGTTGAACTGTGGGTGGGCAGGGCAGGCGCGGATACAAGGGGGGGCCATGGGGGCCATGCCCCCCCCCTTGGCCGATTTTTTTTCAAAAATAAAATAAAAAGTTAAAAAGCTGAAAAGGGGGCCTCCTGAAAATAAAGTGGCTATTCATGTTGAGATGTTGCCTGAACAGCTAGATAAGCTCAATAGACGCAGCTTTTTTTTTGGGGGGGGGGCCCAACAAGTGGGAAGATGGGGCCTCCAACAGGTGGGATTATGGGGGCCTCCTGGTTTCTAATGGCCCCTCCCTTGGAGATTTTCTGGATCCGCCCCTGGGGCAGGGCACTCACCAGGCGATGCATGGTCATGTGATACAGGTGCGGTGGACCGACTGAACGTGCGCACGTGAGGGGTCGGTCCTATATCTAAGGAACGGCTGGGCCAATTGCGCTCAAATTTGGTACACAGCTTCAATCGAGTATGAGTAGGGTATGAGTAGGGTAGGGTAGAGTATGTGGAGGGTATGAGCAGTGTATGGGCAGAGTAGGGTATGGGCAGGGTAGGGTATGGGCAGGGTGGGGTATGGGCAGGGTAGGGTATGGGTAGGGACCCAAATAATACAAACAAACTATTTTTAAACCAGCATAATGCATCCGTAAAACCAATTCAATCAAAACGTGCAGTTATAGCGCAAAACATGCCGTCTAGTCTATATTATGAATTATAAGTTGTCCGTCCATGCGTCATGCCTTATGTGTCTTAATGCGCCGGAACGGCGCCACGTATCGACGTGAAATTTGGCATGCCGAATTTGTGGGTTGAGGCGACCACTGTATTAAAATTTGGGACGGATTGGCCCAGGGGTGCGCCGTCAGCACGCGCTCGCGTGCGCCATAGGGTTAACACGGGAAACGGTCAAATCGAAGATCGGGCGAAAACCGGCCTGCGGCGCCCACTTCCCGGGCCCAAAACTCGGCGACAGATTGCCGTAGCGAGGTGGGGTTGCCACCACTGGATAGAGGAGAGATGGGCCTAGCGTATTGATATGGTTTCATAGTATAGCACGCGCCACGTGCAAGACAGCACCCCCGGTTGTGAAAAAATGACCGATTTCATGCATTGTGGGAAGAAAACCGATGCCGCTGGAAAACGGCTTGACGGAATGAAATCGGTGTTGTATCATTTTGCAGACAAATGTACGTGTAATAATAGGAAAGCAAATAAAAAGTGACGATCCGTACCATTTCTTTAATAATGAAAAATTAATTTGAAAATTTGATTTGCACGGAGCGCGATGTCCTTTACAACATCAAAACGTATTGAAAACGCTGATCAATCGCTATGAAACCTACATATTCGGAAAGAGCATTCTTTTCTGACCAATATCCACCCAAAATATTTTCGAAAAATTCATAAATTTCCGTGAAATTAACTTAAGCATACGACAGTATTTCGGTAACGCCACGCTGCTTTCAACGAATTTCTGTTGATCGCGTCGAAGGAGAAAAGTGCCTCCGCGCCCCCGGGATTCGAACCCGGTACCAACGGCGCTGCAACCCGACGCGCTACCAACTGCGCCACGGCCGACTGGCTTCCGAGGGCTCAAATATTGTTGTAGTTTAAAAGTAGGTGAGGAAATGACTGTGAACTCTTAATACAGAGCGGTCATAAATGCTTTCCGTTATTCAGTTTGATGCTTCGTCCTTAAGTATTTGAAATATTAAAGTGTACTTTGAACATATATTTTTTTTTGCATTGAGTGAGATATTCATTTATTCAGGCTTGCGTTCACTTTTTGGCCACGGCCTTGATTTGTCGCATAGCAACGGGATACGCAACAATAGTATAAACAACTTCAGCAAAACAGGCTCGGGTGATAGCGTTCGCTGTGGGATCGACTGTTCGACGGGCAATCGTTTGAGTGAAATTTTGCGCATTTTTGCGTATTATCTTTGCTCACCTGATTGTTGATCGTCTCAGTAAGCCCTGCTGTGAATTCGTTTGCTCGATCGTTCAAACTTTGCGCTGAGGTGTTTGATTGATAGACATAGTATTTCGGGTACCAGACCTGTTGTGGGCTTAATTCCTCGTAATTTTCCCAAAATTATCACCTGCCTTCTGCACTTTTCCCCATCTAAATTAGATATCCATGCCGCGTAATGAGCGGGGTAGCGCTGCTCGGGCGGCGAATGCCGCTGCTCAGCGCCGGCGCCGCGAACGGATGGCCCAGGCCAGGCGGGAGGCTGAAGCTCTCCGTAACGCCGAGCGGCACCGTGAGCGACACGCTCAGCAAGGAGAGGAGGAACCTGAGGCGCTCGCGGAACGGCAGAGACAACGAGATCGTGAGCGGTACGCCGCACAGGACGCTGAAGAGAGGGAGGCGCACGCCGAGCGTGAGCGACAGCGGCGCGCTGCCATGGATGATGCAGAGCGGCAGGCGGACGCTGAACGTCAGCGACAGCGGCGGGCTGACATGCCCGACGAGGTACGTGACGCGGAACGGGCAGCTAATGCGAGGGGTCACATGGAGGGGCGCCGCAGGGCCGACCGGGCCAATCGAGCCGCCTGTGACGCCGACTCTGTGCTGTCCGGTCGCCAGCCGGTGGCCAGGCTTGACACGGGGGCACGCGACACGGTATGTCCGCACTGCGGCGCCCTCCTCTGGCGAGAGGAGCGGGCCACTCTGTGCTGTTCGGGGGGAAAGGTAAACCTTGATCCCCTGCCGGCCCCGCCACCGCTGCTCCGTGACCTGTGGACGGGTGACACGCTGGAGGCACGCACATTCAGGCAGCACTCCCGGCGCCTGAACACGGCGCTGTCTCTGGCGTCTATGATGACGAGAGAGGTGAGACCGGCGGACGGTGGGTACGCACCATCAGTGATCATACAAGGTAGGTTGTATCACCGCGTCGGTCCGCTGCAGGCCAGAGACGGGGAGCGGCCGTCGTTCGCCCAGATTTACGTAAATGACCCAGACTGTGACGACCCGGCGGCAGAGGCCGCCCTTCGCCTCGGACATGTGCCGCTGCCCCGCGGCACCCGGGAGCCAGAGCGGGTGCGTCTACTGACGCTGCTCGAACAGCTGCAGGTACTGCTACGCCAGGTAAATCCCTATGTGCAGGACTTTATCCACGCCGCCGAGCTGCCGGAGGAGGAGGTTCAGCAGCAGAGACTGGTGGTAAGTGCCGACGCCCGCCCGGCCGACCAGCACCCCCGACGGTACAACCGCGCCGAGGGGTTCCGGGAGGTGGCCGTGCTGATGGACGAGGAGCCCGTCCACCAGGACATTGTGCTGCGTCGCCGTGCCGATGCCGAAGGCCCGTTCCTCCAGACGGTAAATGAGACACATCGGGCGTTTGAGGCTCTGCACTTTGTGCTCCTTCTGCCGTTTGGCACAGACGGCTGGCAGCCCGACCTACGGCAGGCGGTGGCAAACGGGCGCGGGGACGTGAGGGGCGTGACGCTGATGCAGTACTACGCTCATCGGCTGCAGCTGCGACCCGCTCTCGATGACTCACTGTTCCGCGCAGGACGCCTGTTTCAGGAGTACGTGTGCATGGCTTTTGCGCGCGTAGAGACCCAGCGTCTGCTGTACCTGGCTCGGAACCAGGCCGGCCTGCGCGCAGAGCTGTACCAGCGCCTACAGGACGCGCTGCCGGGGGACGCCGAAAGGGAGCTGGCCGGCGGAGACCGCGTCGGTCAGCGTGTCATCCTGCCGGCCTCCTTCACCGGCGGGCCCCGGTACTACCAACGCAGGTAAGCTTTCTACGAACACATGCCATTGCTTATAATGTAGAAATCAGCTGTTTGATTGCACTGGATAACCCGGGCCACTTGGGGGGGGGGGGCGTCTGAACACCCCATGCATTTTTTCGCGAATATCTTAAAAATAGCTGCTTTCGGGTCAAGGTCACTCAAGGTCAGGTCAACAGGCCACGTCAAATGATCTCACCTCGTAAGAAGTTTCGATGCCTGCAATAGGCATACCGAGTGTCTGATCGCCTTTGAAATTTCAGCGATTGATAAGGGCGACAATGTACAAAAGGAATATTTCGGAATTTTGATATAAGGTCAGTGAGCTAATGTCAGGTCATTTTTCCGAACTCTATTTTTAAATCGCCTGTTAGGCAGTTTTGGGGCCCTGTAGTCAGACCGTTGACTTTAGGTCAAATTTGAGAAAAGATTCAGAAATAGCGTTAATAATAGGGCTACTATTAGACGAGCTTTTCGAGGTGCTGTGGGTGTATTGGCTTCTGAGTCATTCGCCAGTTTGTTGAAAGTTTCCGACGTTTGACTGATAATGGGCAAAATTTAGCCTTCAATGACATTGATGACCTGACTTTGGCCTAAACAAAGAGTGACCGGAACATTTTGACGTTATTCGTCAGCCTTTCAACAGGATTTTTGTGATTTTTCATTTTCTCATTTTGGTGTTTTACATTTGTCTCGACGTTTCAGGTACCAAGACGCCATGGCCATAGTACGAGTGTACGGCCGGCCGACGTACTTCGTTACCTTTACCTGCAACCCAAACTGGCCTGAGATACAGGCGGCACTGCTGGAGGGGCAGGATGCACAGTCCCGCCCCGATCTGGTGGCCAGGGTGTTCCACCTAAAGCTGAAGGCTCTACTGAAGGAGCTCACCACCAGCGGTATCTTCGGACGCTGTGTCTCCATGCTGATGGTGGTCGAGTTCCAAAAACGAGGTAGGTAAACATTCAATCTTTGTCACTGTATTTTTTGTTCGGGGGGGGGGGGGGTCACAATAGCCAGCAGTCTCTTAAAAGGTCATCTTAGGTCATAAAAACACTATCGTTTTTCAACTTAAACCTTTGTGTAATGCGTGTTACAGCAATGGCAGCCGCATGGATTGTGTTAATTTCACCATGTAAAATCGATTAACCCGCGCCCTGCTGGGGGGTGGGTGGGATGTTTGACCCCCCCCCCCCTCCTGTGGTAATTTGGCACACCTCATCACACATCAATTCTACACATGTTGTGAAAATTTCAGACCGATATCATTAAAGGCCAGGTCACCAGGTCACTTGAAGTGACCTCACCTCCTAAAAAGTTTCATTTTCTGTCATAGCTGCACTGAGTGACCGATCGCTTTGAAACTTACAGTGATTACTGGCAAAAGTAATGTCGTGCAAGGCTTGAGTCAAAAGTTATTGCAGAAAAACTGTTACCGAAAAAAATCGGTTTTTTGGCAGGTTTTGCCCCTGCAGGCAAAACCGTTGAGGTTAAGTCAAAGCTGAGAGGATTACTCAGAAAGGGCGTTAATAGGGCTATCGAATGCGCTTTATGTCGTGCAAGGCTTGAGTCAAAAGTTATTGCAGAAAAACTGTTTCCGAAAAAACGTTTTTTTTTGCCAGTTTTTGCCCCGCGCAGGCGAAACCGTTGAAGTTAGGTCAAATCTGATTAGGATTATTCAGAAAGGGCGTTAATAGGGCTATCGAATGCGCTTTTCTGCGGCGCTGTAGCTCAATTGGTTCCCGATTTATGCGTTGGCTTCTTGGAGACTGTCGACATTCGACCCGAAAATCGGCGAAATTTTGCCTTCAATGACCTGGTGACATGACCTTTGACCTGACCAAAAAAGTGACCAACTTGATTTCGTCAATATTTTTGGCGCTCTTTCGAACGCCGCCTTCCGCGTATCGCTACGTGTCCCAGGAGCCGAGTTAGGATGGGGGTGTTCAAACCCCCCCCCCCCCCCAGCAGGGCGTGGAAATCCAAAGCCCCAGCCGGGCGCGGGTTAATATGTAACATTCTTTCCCCGTCAGGTCATGACCTTCACTTAAAGACATTTTTTTAAGTTCATATTTCATCTCAATCGGCTTTTGTGTTCCATTTCATTTTCAATGTTTATCTCTGTCGTTAACACATTAATGTTATCTTTACGGTCAAGTTATGCGTCGTGTAAATTTTCCGTATAGTGCATCTTATCAGGCACAGCGAGTGATTCCCTATGCATCGTTGGCTTAGCTAAAACATAATTTATTTTTCCTGCAGGTCTGCCGCACGGCCATATCCTGGTCATCGTCCGGCAGGAGGACCGCCCGCGGACTGCCGACGATGTAGACGCGGTGATCACGGCGGAACTGCCCGACCCGGCCAGGTCAGACCAGGCACGCCGCCTGCACGAGATCGTGGTGAGTACCATGGTACATCGCCAGTGCGGCGCCGCCAACCCGACAGCCGCCTGCATGGACGGCGGCCGCTGCTCCAAGGGCTTCCCCAAGCCGTTCGCCAACGAGACAGAGTGGCGGGATGACCATCCGTACCCTGTCTACAGGCGGCGACCAGCGGCCGAGGGCGGCCAGGAGTTTGTGCGTGACGGACGGCTCATCACCAACCAGTGGGTGGTACCCTTCTCTCCATACCTGTCCCTAAAATATGAGGCGCACGTGAACGTGGAGGTGTGCTGTTCGGTGCAGAGTGTGAAGTATCTTTTCAGGTACATCTACAAGGGCCCGGACCGCCAGATGGTGCGCGCTGACAACCTGATCGGCGGCGATGACGAGATCGCCGAGTACCAGGACATGCGCTCGATCGGCGCCAGTGAGGCCTGCTGGCGTCTGTTTGACGTGCCGATGAGCCAGCGGCAGCCGAACGTGGTCGCCCTACAGGTGCACCTCGAGGACCACCAGCTGGTGTACTTCGAGCCGGGACAGGAGCGGCAGGCGGCCCAGGCCGCCCGACGCACCCACCTCACCGCCTGGCTGGAGTATAACCGGGAGTCGGCCGCCGCCGACCCGGACTGCCGCCGACTGCTCTACCCGGACTTCCCGTCCCGGTACACCTGGCAGGCCGGCCAGAAGGTGTGGCGCAAACGGCGCCAACAGCAGGCGGCAGAGGCCATCGGCCGCGTGGTGAGCCTCTCACCGCGTCACGGCGACGTGTTCTACCTGCGCGTGCTGCTGCACCACGTCGCGGGGGCGGCGTCCTTTGAGGAGCTGCGCACCGTGGACGGCGTGGTCTGTGCCACCTATCGTGAGGCGTGCTGCCTGCGCGGCCTTCTGCAGGACGACCGCGAGTGGGAGGTGACGATGGAGGACGCGGCGCACGCACAGATGCCGGCTCAAATCCGGCGCCTCTTCGTGACGCTGCTGCTCTTCTGCGCACCAGCCGATCCGTCAGAGCTGTTCAGGCGTCACCTGGACGCCATGTCTGATGACTTCGGCCGCCGTCATCGCGACCTGCCGGACGAGCTGCGCGCTGCACTAACACTGGTGGACCTTGAGCGGCAGCTACAGCAGGCCGGCAAAGAGCTCCGAGACTTCGGTCTGCCGGAGGTGACGCCCGATCAGCGGGCGCGGGCGGCTGAGCTGCAGCAGGCCGCCGAGCTGCGCCAGCTGCCGCGGCTCATTCAGGAGGAGCTGGAGTATGACGCAGCAGCGCTCAGAGACCAGGTGGCCATCCAGCTGCCCACCCTGCTGCCGCCGCAGCGCCACGTCTTCGACCTGGTGATGACGGCCGTCGACGGGCGGCGTCCGCTGGCCGTGTTCGTGGACGCCGCTGGCGGCACCGGCAAGACGTACGTCTTCAACACGCTGCTGGCGGCGGTGCGCTCGCAGGGTCTGGTGGCGCTCGCCGTGGCCTTCAGTGGAATCGCTGCCACTCTGCTCGACGGCGGGCGCACTTATCACTCGCGTTTTAAGGCACCGCTGCAGGTGGACGCGACATCAACGTGCGCTATCAGCGCGCAGAGCCCGCTGGCGGAGCTCATCCGACGGACGGCGCTCATCGTGTGGGACGAGGCGCCAATGGCCCACCGTCACCATCTGGAGGCGTTCGACCGCACGCTGCGTGACGTCACTGGCAGCGAGGAGCCGTTCGGCGGAAAAGTCCTCGTGCTGGGCGGGGATTTCCGCCAAATTCTCCCAGTCATCAGGTAACTAACAACAACAGGCGTTCAGTGTGTATGAGAAAAAAGTATATACAAAAATAGCTGTGGTACGTTTGTTGTTATTAGTGTGTAATTGAATACGACTGATATAAGGCTCTTCGGCCCAATCGCATTATTGCAGTTTAACATGTGAAATAAGTCGTAGCCATGAACATTCAACCGCTATGCCTTCAAAACGTATTCACTGACTTATATCGATGCCAGCGTCGTAAACACACTGCCGCAGCGGATTGATCGTAGACCGCATGCTTTGTGGTTTCTTTAGCTTCGCCCTGGTGGGAGGAGCTTTTTGACCACACTCGCCAGTTTACACTCAGACTCGCCCACACAGTGAGCCCAGTAAAGAAATCTGGGATAAATTTGTTATGGCCGAAAATAAATCGCCTGTGCATCGAATGAGTTATTTCTTACCTCCGGTCACATAAGGTCAACGGGTCTCCAGATTAAGATTAAGACGGGTCATCCAGCAGTTTTTTTGCGATAACTTTAGCTAAACATGTTAGAGCGATGCAAACACGTTAGTTAGATGGATTCAGTTAAACGATACAAATCGACAGTTATGACACATGACCTTTACCGGTAGGGTCACGACCTCGACCCTAGGTCAGATTTTGTAGTCGGCCTTTTGAGGTGAGATTATACTTCATTCGACGCGTCTCAACGAGCGGAATGCGTCGCTGATAAAATCGACAATACAACCTTGATGAAAAAGTTTCGCAGAAAAACGTTTCCCGAAAAATGTTAACGCTTTAGTTTTTCCCCTGTGGCTTAGACCCCCACCAGGGCGCCGGCTAAGCAGCCATTTCTGAGCATTAGTGGCCGTCTCGGCGCGTTTTTATATGCATATTATTGTCCGTTTCAGGCACGGTACCCGCGCACAGGTGGTGGACGCCTGTCTGCGGCGGTCAGCGCTGTGGCGTCACTTCATTGTGGCGCCGCTGCTGGAGAACATGCGGGCGCGGCGGGCAGCCGGGCCGGACGGTCCAGAGCTGCGGGCGTTCTGTGACTGGCTGCTCGAGCTGGGAGAGGGACGCGCAGAGGGCCCCGAGGATGGGTTTGTTCAGCTGCCCCCGCACCTGGTGATGGACGCCGATATCGACGCTGTCATTGACTGGGTGTTTGATGACCTGGCAGGGCGACACGGCGACCGGGAGTGGATGGCGTCGCGGGCTGTGCTCGCGCCGCGAAACACTCGGGTCGACGAGCTGAACGCCGCAGTCACCGAGCGCTTCCCCGGAGAGGCCGTCCGCCTGCTGAGCGCCGACAGTCTGGTGGAGGAGGCCGAGCAGCTGGATATTCCACATGAGTATCTAAACACTCTGTGCGCTCCCGGCTTCCCACCTCACTGCTTGATGATAAAGCCAGGCATGCCACTCATGCTACTTCGTAATCTGTCCGCCACTGACGGACTGTGCAATGGCACGCGACTTATCGCTGGTCGCATCATCAGCCCGCGACTCATGGAGGCCACTATCGCCTGCGGCAAAAACGCCGGAAGGCAAGTGCTTATTCCACGGCTCCCACTCCAGCCCCCGGATGACGCGTTTCCCTTCCGCTGGGAGCGTCGCCAGTTCCCCGTGCGGCCAGGTTTCGCCATGACGGTGAACAAAGCCCAGGGGCAGACGCTCGGTCGGGTCGCGGTCTTTCTGGAGGAGCCAGTGTTCAGCCACGGGCAGCTGTACGTGGCTGCATCGCGGGTCGGCCGGCCGGCGGATCTGAGGATCGCGCTGCCCAGAGGTGGCCAGGGCGCAACACCCAATGTGGTGTACACGGAGGTGATGGGCCGAGGTGATGGCCGGTAGATCCACGGGTCGCAGAGGCGACGGGTAGCCAGAGCGCTACGAGCAACGTGGAGAGGAGGAGCGAGGAGCAACGAGGAGAAAACGGCCGGCCGACCGTGATGCAGGACGGATAAATCCTGGCGAGCCAATGCGCCGTCAAGTGGAAAATTTACACATTTAACATAATGCCGCAACTGGCTTTGGTGACCTCCAATGCGCGAGCGCAACTTATATTTTGAGGATAAATCAATGTATTGAGTGGCATGTTACAAAACATGTTTGATATGCTCTGATGATATATTTGATATTTGATGATATATTTTGATATTTGAGAGCACATCTAACAATGGGCGTTTGCCTCCAGCTATACAATCGGCTGCGAGTAGCACACACCGAGTACTTCTCGGGGGGCCTTATTGCCGCTGCCCACGGCCGCCGTGTCTTCCCTCACCAGAGGTGTGCGCTCTGCACCCGGTGAGGGGTCTCGGGCGTTAAATAGAGACGCAATCCGATGTGGCAGCCTCCACGCGGCGGGTTGCGGGGTAAAAGCTAATAGCCACACAGAGCGACACGTAAGTATTTCACTGTTGTATTCACTAGATTTGATTACGTTGCAGAAACCTGTCATGTACTGTCACCTGCACACTGCAGCTGCTTCCACTTTTTATCACGACATGACTTAGTGTCAGCCCCGCTGAAGACAAAAGGACGCACAAGCGCTGCGCTGGATTCTCCGACAGCATCTTCTCAGTCGCGGTGGTGACTGATACAACCAGCGTCTTACGGGTAAGGCAAGAAGTAAAGTATGGTTTGGTATGTGTTGAGTAGAGCTTCTGGGTAGGGTAGGGTAGTGTAGCGTATGGTAAGGTTGAGTGCATAAGCGGCCAGCATGCGAAAGACTCAAACAACCCGTAATCAGCACCAGCATACCATACACTTTAAAGTATCAAATTTCACCTAACTCATACAAATGAAAATATAACCTCATACATCAAACTAATGGCCCCATGAACAATGGCCATCGAAACGTACAGTTATCGCGTGTGTCCATCCATCAATCCTGGGTAGGGTAAGGTATTGTAGTGTATGGGTTTGAGTGCATAAGGGCCCAACATCCGAAATACTCAAACAACCCGGTAATCAGCACCAGCATACCATACAGTTCAATTAAAGCCAAATGTCAAACTTCACCTAGCTCATACAAATAAAAATATAACCGCATACACCCAAACTAATGCCCCCTCAAACGTATCTACCCAAACGTACAGTTATCGCGCAAACATGGCCATCTAGTCTATATTATGAATTATAACATGTCCGTGCGTCCATCCGTGTGTCATGACTTATGTGTCTTATTGCGCCTGCAAGGCGCCGCGTATCGGCGTGAAATTTGGCATGCCGAATCTGTGGGCGTGGGCGGCCTTTGTATTAAATTTTGGGGGTGATCGGCCCAGGGGTGCGCCGTCAGCACGCGCTCGCGTGCGCCATAGGGTTAACACAGGAAACGGCCAAAACGAACATCGGACGAAAACCGGCCGACACTGCTTGCTCCCCGCGCTAATAACTCTGCAACGGGGGGCCGCAGCGAAATGGGGTTGCCACCACTGGATAGAGGAGAGATGGGCCTAGCGTATTGATATGGTTTCATAGTATAGTACGCGCCACGTGCAAGACAGCACCCCCGGTTGTGAAAAATGACCGATTTCATGCATTGTGGGAAGAAAACCGATGCCGCTGGAAAACGGCTCGACGGAATGAAATCGGTGTTGTATCATTTTGCAGACAAATGTACGTGTAATAATAGGAAAGCAAATAAAAAGTGACGATCCGTACCATTTCTTTAATAATGAAAAATTAATTTGAAAATTTGATTTGCACGGAGCGCGATGTCCTTTACAACACCAAAACGTATTGAAAACGATGATAAATCGTTATGAAACCTACATATTCGGAAAGAGCATTCTTTTCTGACCAATATCCACCCAAAATATTATCGAAAAGTCAATAAACTTTTGGTGAAAATGACTCAAGCATGCGACCGTGTTTTGATAACGTTACGCGTATTTTCCGACGAAATCGATCGATGGCTTCGGCAGGCAGGCCCAGGCAGGCCATTGAACCTTTGACAACAAACGGTAGCGGAAGGCACCTCTCGCCAGGGGAATTCGCCAGTAAATAAAATAAATTTATTCTTGCAATAACTCAGCCGCTACCGGGCCGATTGTGCTGAATTTTGGGACTGTCAACGGGCACATATCGAACGACACATTACCATATGTAGGGTGCTAAATGCTAATGCACGTGCACACCTGGAAAGGAGCAGTTTCCTATCTCAAGAACGGCTGGGCCAATTTCTCTCAAACTTGGTGCACACTACAGAACCCGTAAAATCAATTAAATACCATACAGTTATCGCGCAAACATGGCCATCTAGTCTATATTATGAATTATAACATGTCCGTGCGTGCGTGCCTGCGACTGTCATGCCTTATGTGTCTTAATGCGCCTGAAAGGCGCCGCGTAAGGACGTGAAATTTTGTGGGCACAATCTTTGGGTTGATATGACCTCTGTATTAAAATTTGGGAGTCATCGGCCCAGGGGTGCGCCGTCAGCACGCGCTCGCGTGCGCCATAGGGTTAACACAGGAAACGGTCAAATCGAAGATCGGGCGAAAACCGGCCTGCGGCGCCCACTTCCCGGGCCCAAAACTCGGCGACAGATTGCCGTAGCGAGGTGGGGTTGCCACCACTGGATAGAGGAGAGATGTGCCTAGCGTATTGATATGGTTTCATAGTATAGCACGCGCCACGTGCAAGACAGCACCCCCGGTTGTGAAAAAATGACCGATTTCATGCATTGTGGGAAGAAAACCGATGCCGCTGGAAAACGGCTTGACGGAATGAAATCGGTGTGGTGCCATTTTGCAGGCAAATGTACGTGTAATCAGAGGATGGCAAATAAAAAGTGATGATCCGTACCATTTCTTTAATAATGAAACTTTAATATGAAAATTTGATTCGCGGGGAGCGCCATGTCCTTTACAACATCAAAACGTATTGAAAACGCTGATCAGTCGCTATGAAACGTACATATTCGGAAAGAGCATTCTTTTCTGACCAATATCCACCCAAAATATCATCGAAAAGTCAATAAACTTTTGTGAAAATGACTCAAACATACGACCGTGTTTTGTTAACGTTACAGGTATTTTTCGACAAAATCCGATCGATGGCTTATGGCCGTCAGGTCATTCCACTTTTCACAATAGCTATCAAAGCATGGGCTGCAACGCACCGCCCGGAAAGGGGAATTCCAAACACTGAAAATAAGTGCATACCAGTAAACAGCACATTATTGTACTAGGAATAACTCAGCTCCTACTGGGCCGATTGCGCTGAAACTTGGACTGTGGGTGGAGGGGGCACTCATCTGGCGATGCATGGTCATTTGTGACAGGTAGGGTGGATCGATTGCACGTGCGCACGTGAGGGGTCCACTTATACATCTCAAGAACGGCTGGGCCGATTTCGCTCAAATTTTGTACACCGTTAGGAACAATTTAGAAGGGTGGCTGGCACAAGTCATCTAGAGTCTCAGCGCGTGCGCACGTGCAGCGGGCCGCTTTTATATCTCAAGAACGGCTGGGCCGATTGCGCTCAAATTTGCTACATTACTTTAATCGAGTATGAGAAGGGTAACTACGTGTAGGTTATGAGTAAGGTAGGGTGTGGGTTGGGTAGGGTAGGGTAGGGTAGGGTAGGGTAGGGTAGGGTAGGGTAGGGTAGGGTAGGGTAGGGTAGGGTAGGGTAGGGTAGGGTAGAGTAGGGTAGGGTAGAGGTAGGGTATGTACATTTGTAGGTTAGGGTAGGGTTTTTAGCGGCGTTTCCGGTGGCGTTTACGGCGTTTCCGATTGGCGGTGGTTGGGCGTGCGATGCGGGCGGTTTTCTTTTTTTGAGGTTATATTTTTTTCATACAGATAAAAATATAGCCTCATGCATCGAACTAATGGTCCCATTAGTTCGATGCATGAACAATAGCCATCGAAACGTACAGTTATCGCGTGTATCCATCCATCCATCCTGGGTATGGTAGGGTATTGTAGTGTATGTTAAGTTTGAGTGCATAAGGGCCCAACATCCGAAAGACTCAAACAACCCCGGTTAATCAGCACCAGCATACCATACAGTTCAATTAAAACCAAATGTCAAACTTCACCTAGCTCATACAAATAAAAATATAACCTCATACACCCAAACAAATGCCCCAATTAACAATATCTATCGAATCTATACAGTTATCGCGCAAACATGGCCATCTAGTCTATATTATGAATTATAAGTTGTCTGTACGACCGTGCCTGCGTCTGTCAGGACTTATGTGTCTTATTGCGCCTGAAAGGCGCCGCGTATCGACGTGAAATTTGGCATGCCGAATCTGCGGGCGTGGGGGACCTCTGTATTAAAATTTGGGAATCATCGGCCCAGGGGTGCGCCGTCAGCACGCGCTCGCGTGCGCCATAGGGTTTACATGGCAAACGGTCAAAACGAACATCGGACGAAAACCGGCCTGCGGCGCCCGCTTTCCGGCTGTATAAATCGGCAACGGAGGGTCGCAGCGAGAAGCGGTTTACACCACTCGATAGAGGAGAGATGGGCCTAGCGTATTGACATGGTTTAATAGTATAGCACGCGCCACGTGCAAGACAGCACCCCCAGTTGTGAAAAAATGACCGATTTCGTGCATTGTGACGGGAAAATCGATGCCGCTGGAAACCGGCTTGACGGTATGAAATCGGTGTGGTGCCATTTTGCAGGCAAATGTACGTGTAATCAGAGGAAAGGAAATAAAAAGTAATGATCCGTACCATTTCTTTAATAATGAAAAATTAATTTGAAAATTTGATTCAAGTGGAGCACGATGTCCTTTACAACATCAAAACTTATTGAAAACGCTGATCAATCGCTATGAAACCTACATATTCGGAAAGAGCATTCTTTTCTGACCAATATCCACCCAAAATATTATCGAAAAGTCAATAAACTTTCGTGAAAATGACTCAAACATACGACCGTGTTTTGTTAACGTTACAGGTATTTTTCGACAAATTCCGATCGATGGCTTATGGCCGGCAGGTCATTCCACTTTTCACAATAGTCATCACAGCATGGGCTGCAATGCACCGCCCGCAAAGGGGAATTCCAAACACTGAAAATAAGCGCCTATACCAGTAAAC